GGGGTTTTTTACCTGCTAAAATAAAATGTTAAAACTGACCTGATTTGTAGAGCTGGAAAGACGATAGACTGGCATTGATGCCTACAGACACAGGTCCCTGAGTGGCCACAGCGTTCATCAGAGCAGCCTCACTACCGCTGGTGATGCTACCATAGCCGGTGCAGGTGGCTGCGCTGTACGCGGGATTGTAGAGACACTGCTGCTGATTCTGAAGAGGACAAGAAGACAGTGAACGGGATGTTATGGAACCACCACAGGCCTCTAGATCAACTCAATAAAAATGACAGATTAACAGATAAATTTGTCCTGCAGAAGAAGAACAGTACATCAAAGTCTAAACCATGATTTAAGATCAAAAACTACATTCAAGACCATTTAAAGCCTTGAAATGTGACTTTGGAGACTTAAGATGTGTCCACTTCCTCTCATTAGATACCTACCGATCCCAGGTAAGGATAGGAGTCCTCAGTGTCCAGGCCCTTACTTGCATTGACATAGTTGAAGGCATAGGTCATCAGACCGCCGTTGCAGCCCATATTGCCTTGAGGTCTGGAACAGTCCACCAGGTTCTGCTCGCTCAACGACACCAGATTGCCGGTCTTCTTGTACATCTGGCCCTCCAGAGCTCCGGTGGCGCTGAAGGCCCAGCAGGAACCACACTGACCCTGGAGAGAGAGAAGAGGATGGTTTCATTTAGATCAGATGGTAGTGAGGAATTTGCTTAAATAAGAGGTGTCTCCTTCTGTTCAGGACCATTAAACCAGTATTTCAGGTCACCTCGGTTATACAGACTTAAATGTTATCTGTTGTTTTTGTTACGTTACTGTGGGTATGCAGTCGGTGCTGTAGGGCATTTAGCTCAGTCAGAAGTTCCCATAGCGTGAGATCCTGAAATAAACTGTGATAGGAAGTGATCCAATAAATCACATCGACATAATGTATATGACAGTGTTTGCTCCACTGTTTATGGCGAGCCAGTCAGTCTGGTTCCAGCCTACCAACTGTTAAGGTATAATGAGGGGGTGGAGGGAATGAACTGTGCAGACAGGGAGGGGGCGAGTGTGACGCAGCAGATAACCAAAACAATCCGTGTGTGGTCAACTTATCTGTGTGACACAGAACCTTCACTGCAGTGGACACAGGACATATGGTGCCTCAGAAGTCCAAAGTTGCACATGGCGTCATGTTTACCATGTTTCCTAACAGCTGATATTGGACCATGTGTAGCTCCTGTAACACTAACTTAACTGTTGTTTTAGACGAAAAGTAAGATCGAAGATGTCTTCACCTACATCTCCCTACAGAGTAGCATCATGACTCCTTCCAAGAAGTAAAACGTGTTCAACTGCACCTTAAACTTGTACCAGGTGTGGCTAGAGCCCTGAGTCACGTTACCTGGTTCTTCACAGGAGTAACGTAGCCAAGGGGCCTCCAGTCCACAGAACTTATTGCGACGGCCAGGCTTTTGGACTTCGCTGAGACGGAGTTCTGGGTGTTCCCCGTCGTCTGCTGGGTCACTGTTGGTTCCGGACTGAGGCCAAAGATGAGCTCCATCTCTTTGCTGGTCTGTGGAAAGGCAAAGTTGAAAGAGTCTGTAACACTGACAGTGTGAGTTAGGAAATGTGGTGTTTGTGTGTTTTTAGCAGCAAACCTGCACCAATTTTCAGTAATTACTGTCACAGGCAACTCAACTTTTATTGTCCTTGCTCCGAGTCATGTTCCAGTTTTATGCACAATACATTGTTTGCCTCACACACCATATCTGGTTTTATTTGATACCACAATTTTTTGTTTTGTTGTTGCTTTGTGAAGTTTCTAACTGTGTGCAAATCAAATCAATTTTCCTTGAACTTCCTTCATTTCCAGACCTTCATGAAACAACTGATCGGTGTTTTCAGGCGATACGAGTCTGCATGTTAAAACCATGGTCCTACCAGGTCCGAGTACTGGTTCGTGCCCATGGTGAAGGAGTGTTTGCCCTGGGCCGCCTCCGTGTTGTGCTGCTTGACCAGGTTATTGTTATTCTCCCATATCAGTTGCCGCCAGGGCTCCTCTTCCTACACACAACAATAACATGTTGGACTTGTTATTTTTGCTGGAAATGGAATTGTTTACTAGAGTTAAAAATTAGGGAAAAAACATTACCTGAGGGTATGTTTTACTGTGATCTGTCTTCCACTTATTCCAGTCCTCATCCAGCTTTGGGTCCTTAGTGGAGGCTGAGAGGACTGCGCTCAGACACACGGCCAACACAGCTAGAGACAGCATTGTGTCTTCCTACTAGAAAACAACACACGAGTTAGGACACTAAAGTAGCAAGGTGATGACTGATGGGGCTCTGACTGTGAGGAGGAAAACACATTTCGTTACAAGAGACATTTCTTTTTCCTCGGGAAAAGGACGAGTCATACTAATTATTGATGAAATTCCTGCATGAACTCCAAGTTCACTTCTGGTCTTTTGCATGTAAAGGCAGGAACACCAGCAATCTGTTGAAATATCTAATGAAAGAAATGCAGTTTTCCACTGACTAGCTCATAGTTCCTCTCCTTGCCCGGGTATGTTATTTATTTAAGCTGCTCAGAGTTAAATAAACTATACTAATAAGGGTTCATGATGAAATATCGACATTATTCAGTTGATGGTTGTGAGTTTGTTCATAAATCCAATCTGCAATGGTCAAAGCATCATGTGAACTGGCATTCAGAAGCCGTTTCACTTGAGAGCGCTCAGAGCAGGGGCGGAGATAATGATTTCAGGGCTGGAGGCACCTCGCAGTTAAAGTACTATCAAAAATGTTTTATGTATCTATTTATTTTTTTACATCTCAGTAATCACATTATAGTCTTGTGATTTGTTTAAAACAATGCTGTTGCAACTTGGTACTCAAGACATGCCAAGACTTGAACTGGTAGTGGTCTTTTCAAGCAGTGCCCAGAGTCACTGTCTGTCCTAATTTAAACCATGTGAAGGGGATTGGTAATGACTGCTCCTTTAGCAATGAGAGGGACACAAAGACAAAAGTAACTGAATGAAACAAGACTGCTAATTCTGGTGGATAGCAATAAAAACAGAGATATGTGCAACTAAAATATAAATACAGTTGAGATGTTGCTTAAACACTTTTAAAATGAACATTGTGAGGCATTCAATGCTGTGTGCAAATCAGCTACTGAAGAAATCCCTTAAAAAAAACACATCCTTACAAATGTTTTTGCTTTAGGTTGTAAATTCAGGCGTCGAGTTTGACTAATTTAGTTCAGAATCCTAATAAGTGTAAAACTTACTGTAAACTTCTTGTCGTCCAAGTGAAGTTGAAGATGCAGGCACGATGTTTTCACCAATGAACACTGACGTTACCTTTATAAAGGCCCATGTAGCCACTGAAAAACCTCCCACCGAGCTCTCTGATTGGTCCACTATTTGTTTATGAACCTGCAGACCAGCCCCTGGACACCATCGTCATCAGTTAAGTGTGTTATTCCTCCCTTTGTAAATGTTTTGACTGCAAAATCCTAAATGAGAAAATATTTTAAGGAATTTAAATATGTGTTTGCATGCATTGTAATAACCATGTTAGTCAGTTTTCTGCAGTAATTTCTTCTTTAATGCCATGAGAAACCTGTAATCATAGTAGATGACGTGAGAAACCTGATTTCCCTATATTTCTCCTGGAGAAAGTAAATTTCTTTATGTGGTAACAGCTTTCAGCTTTTTGCACTTGCACACATGACAAAGCTTTCAGACCAAGTATCTGTCATTACAGTAATGAACCCGTACAGGCTTTGACAGTAAATTCTCCTCCTCAGACAGTAAGTACTAGCTATGTAGCAGTACATCTTTGTATTCAAACTAATTTCATCTATTGCAACAAACTAAAGGTGACACAAGCAGCCTCTATACATAAAGCACTTTCCACCAACTACTTGAGTATTTTACTGTTTCTAAAAT